ATAGCGTGGACAATTAACTTCCCGAAATTCGAGGACCAGTATGTCAGAGGTTTCTAGCTAGCGGAACTTCGAGTGATCTTTTTATAGCACGAAACACTGCAAAAACGCATGATCGCACGGAGCCGCGCACTGCGCGTCGCCAATGATTTTTCCTGCCACCAGCTGCTTACTTTCAGCTTATTTCGATATTTCCACACGTTAGTCTTTTTTCTTCAGCAAGCATGGAGGCATTATTTATAGAACCAACGCATATTGCATTTAAGACATAAAGCGTACTTTGCAAGCACATGCAACGATTACTTTTTTGCTGTTTACTTTTTAAGAAATGAAATCTGATTCTGAATGAATCCGACGTCTTGCCCATTTTGGAAAAAGGGAACGGAACCAGAACTTATAAAACTGGAAACGACTAGTGCTGTTGATACTAGTTGCCACACCCTCCTCTTTCAAATTTGTTCAGGGACTGCCAACAGAATCGGTGTTCATCTGAACACCGATTGGAGCCTGTAAGTCGGCTCTAGCTGATCCGATCCAAATGAACTGATACGTGGGCTCTCTCGAATCGAATATCATACCTCAAAGTTGGGTTATTAAACCTTTATTTGAATTGGTTAACAACAAGCATGTTAACGAAACGATGGCTAGCAACAAAGCGAATTGAGTCTGAAAACACATACTTTAGAGCAAAACACAGCCGATATTCAAGGCAAAGCCAAAGCAAAAGTAATTAAGAAAGCGAAGCGATACGTGAGGAAACTGTTGCCGAGGGGAAAACCAATCACTAGAAAATTACATCGTACTCTGAGCGGATGCCAAATCTGGCGACTCCGCTTCGGTACGAGATCTGTCGCAAGGCTGAAAGCGGTGGGAAGAAAACTCCATCGCTTTTCAGAAATATAGTGAATAAAGAAACAGCAGTGTAATCATGGGCTACTGAGCATTGTGCGCTCACCATTGAGCACCACATGTAGCTCCCGCATAAGAGCGGTCTTCCGACCATACTGACCTGTTGCAAACCGGCCCTAAAAGAAATTAATAAAATTTTCTGCAGACCAAGAGCAACATCTTGAGGCCTCCGTCTCAACACTCCGAAGGCCAAAAGCAAACAAAGTATAACAAACAATAACAAAATTTTTTTTTCAAAGGTTACGTACTTTCAATGAGCAGAGCAAATTTCACCATCACTAGCGACTGATATGCTGACTATTTTGAAGCGCAGGCAATACATAGAACGACATTATTGAAATGCTCCTTACTGCTGCTGTTTTCGGAAAATGAGTTACTGCTGCATGAGTATTTACTTCATCGTCTTCTTCCTCCAAGTTTGGGTCTACCGTTGCTTGATTCTTAACTTCTTTTGTAATTTCAAGTGGTAGAAGTAAATTGACGGGCCTCGTTGTACATTTTCCGCTTGCGATTTAGGCGGCAGCAGTTCGAACCTGTCCATCCTTACTCTTCTTTACCTCGATAATTTTCCCCATCTTTCATCTGTCAAGTGGTGTACTGTCCTCTGCAATCAGTACTAATTCTGCTTCTCGCGGTTGCCTGTTCACCATACTTCTTGATCCATGGTGATTTCGTTGCGCTTGCTCTCGTAACATGCTGAGATAGCTTGTCTGCCAAAATTTCCGAAAAGATTTAAATTTTTAAGCGTCGTCCTCCACTGCTGATTAAGATTTTCACGTGATCTGTTGCCTTGATCGTACCTCCATGACCGATTTTCTTCTACTGGTGTAAGAAACATTGCTTTCGGAACTAGAAAATCTGTTAGTCTTATCATGTTGCAATTTTTCTCGTCAACGTATTTAAGTAGTCTCGAATTACGATTTCTTCTATATTAATAAGAATTGTTTGCAACTGTTCTTCTGACAACAGCTGCTGTCCCACTGCTCGCCTTAAGGCTTTTTTGGTGATTTCCACCAGTCTCTTATATAATCCCCCTTGCTATGGGGCATACTCAGTTATGAATTTCTACTCGATGCCAAGAAAGCTGTAATATTCTGTCAGTTGATTGCGCATTTCGTCGACATGACTATCCATCGTTTTTGCCGCCAATTTGAACTGAGCGATATTGTCGCAGATTATCGAATCGGGGCAGCTTCTTCTTCCCAGAAATCTTCTTAAGCAATTGATAATCGAAAATGAAAACAAATCATGTGCCTTTCTCAAGTGCACAGCTCATGTTGTGAAGCATGTAAGGAGGCAGATCCAACGTTTTGTCAACTGGAATTCACTTTTCATTGTAACTGGACCGAAGTAATCAAGGCCGACTTATTTGAAACGCTCGAGATGGAGTAAACCCGTGGTTTTGTTCTTCAACCACTTTCTCAATTATCTCAGCTTCAACTGTGACCGGAACGTTCTATCGTAGAGCTCGAAAAGCTTGGATTTTCCTAGAGCTTTCTAATTATGGATTTGAGCCGACCTGGGCATAACGCGAAATTAGTAGCCAGTATAGCCAATTTAGGCATCTCTCTTTTCCACGGCCAACTAACACTATAATGACCTGACTTATCTCTGCTTATTGTTTCCTCGAACTGCTCCATCACTTCATCTCCCACTCTCTTTTGGATGGGCTCCTTAATGCCAGTGATTTCCAACTGTCAGAACTGTGAGACATCTTCAGTAACTGAACTAGCCATGATTACTCCTCCTGTCGTGATATTTCCTGATTTACCGCAACTTCGAAATGCATTTCTTCCGGCAGTCATCCAACCCACGGATGAGTCTGCTAACTGGAACCCGAAATGTCATGGTCTTTCCCAGCCACTGACGAATGAGAAGTAATGATCCAGTCCAATTATGATTCGTTGTTGTTTCACGTATGTCCACAGGCTGACAATTTCTGGATCTTTTGCTCGCATTTGACGAATCTTGCTTTTGTTGATTGAAGCCGTGAGGATCTCTTGTGTCAAAAAATCCCTGAATCCTAACGAACTTCCGATTCTTATTGTGTGCCGCGCATTTCTCACACTAGCCACATAGTCCGACCTATCCACTATCACTTGCAGCTGTTTTCTGAATTTATCGAAGCTCCGTGGCTAATTTCGCTACCTTTCGATGCAGATTTCTGTCACCACCCAATGTGGTGGGTGGTGTGGTGGTATAGTGTATCCTTGAGGTTACTGTCCTTCCCTTCTCTAAATGTAACTGCTTGACGAACTGATTCGACATTCAAATCCAAATTCGCATGATGGGTCTAAGTTTGGAGTTTGCGAATATTCTTAGTATATGCTTCAAGGCTAACAAGAGTTTCTTTGACTCGATCGAGTATCCAGATCAGACCAATTTCCTTATCCTGCATCATTTCCTCACAAGCTTCATCATTTCTTTCTACGTTTGGATTCTGAGGATTGTTGATAAGACTAAGTCACTCTTCATTTTTGTTGTCGAGATACTGAACAGCGTTCCAAATTTGTTTGCTTTTCTCATTGATGTGTTGAATCTGTGGGCTCGTCTAAATATTTCTTGAGCCTTGGCTTCGACGGAACAACCGCCTTTCTTATTACACTTGACATGTTAAACACGGCTGAGTTCTCTGTGGTTTACCCCTAGGTATGGCTAAATAAGATAGCTGTCCGGTGCTAGTTGTAGCAGACATTGCTATTTACTTTTCCCCCTCCGCACTGTTCAATTTGACCTTCATTTTTCCGGTCGATGCACCATGTGGAAAAAAGGAACGAAACCAAAACTTATAAAACTGGAAACGACTGTTGCTGATGATACTAGTTGCCACATACTCCTCTTCCAAATTTGGTCCGGGATGACCAATAGAATCGGTGTTCATCTGAATATCGACTGGAGCCAGTACGTCGGCCCTAGTTGATTCGATCCAAATGAATTAATGCGTCAGCCCTCTCAAGTCGAATACCATGCCTTAAAGTTGGGTTATTAAAGCTTTATTTAAATTAGTTAACAACACGTGTGTTGATGAAACGATAGCTAGCAACAAAACGAATTGAATCTGTAGAGCACACACTTTAGAAACATAGCAAAGTCAAAGCAAAAGCAATTAAGAAAGCGAAGCAATATGTGAGGAGAACGTTACCAAAGGAAAAGCCAATCACTAGAAAATAACATCGTACTTTCAGCAGATGCCCAGCTTCGGCACGAGATCTGTCGCAAGACTGAAAGCGATGGGATGAGGAACCCCATCGCTTTTTAGAAATGTAGCGAACAAAGAAACAGTAATGTAATCATGGGCTAGTGAGTGTTGTGCTCTCACCATTTAGCACCATATGTAGCTCCTGCATAAGAGCGGTCTTCCGACAATATTGACCTGTTGTAAGCCGACTAACCCCAAAAGAAATTCACAAAATTTTCTGCAAACCAAAAGCAACATTTTGAGTCCTCTGGTCTCAACACCCAGCCAAAGCAAAAAACACAATCGGAGTGGCGGTAAGGCTGCAGCAGTTAAGAGTCATCCTGGCTTTAATTAGTTTCCAGGTGGGCAAAATTAGTCATAATTCCTAAAAAGTACAGTAGCCAGCGAGAAGTACCTCAAACTCACGCACTGTGAAAAGCTTTATGCATTTGCTTCTGCCATAAGAACGATTCCTCAAAGTGTGGCTTTTGACTGTATAAATGCCATTAAGGGAGGATCTTGGTGCGCCCGTCACGTCATAAAATAAATGGCCAACGCACGGGCTGCCCGTGCGAAGATGCGTTTTTTGCAGAGTTCCCCGCA